TTTTCTGCTTGAAGACATGTTTTATGAGAGCTAGAAGTGATACCATCAAGCAATTGATGAATCTATGGCAAAATTCAAAGGGCGATCTACATTGAAACAGTATATGCCCCTCAAGCGATTGTGTTTAGATGCGCGAAATATTAATCAATATATTGTCTGCCAATACGAGACACCTTTGAACATACAAGTACAATCAATTTTCGGGAGAATAAGGGGATCACATATTTTTTATAAAATAGATTTAAAGCACAGTTTTTGGCTAATTCGACGCCGAAAATTGTAGAGATTACACAGCATTTTCCGTCGACGGAAATGTCATTAGCATTACATACTATCTTAAATAAACATGACGAATTTGTAGTACGTTATATTGATGATCTATTAATTTTTTCACCTGATGTCGAAAGTCATCTAAAACATGATAAAATTGTACTTGAAGCATTAGATATGGCTGGTTTAAAATTTGGCAGAAGATCGGATATAGATCACTAAAGATTATCCCCGGCCAACAAACTTTATAATATTACGGGGATTCATTGCAATGATAAATTATTTTAAGAAACTCATTTCAGATATCAGTCCAAAGGAATTAGCATTGATCAGTCTTCAGAAAAATATAAAATGGAAATGGAGCGAAGAACAAGAAAATGCTTTTATTAATTTAAAAAAGGAATTGACCAGTGGGGTAAAAGTATATACATTGCCTTTTATTTTAAGGACAGATGCCTCGATACATAAATTTGCAGGCTTTTTGTCACAATTTCAAGAAGGAAAAGAGGTACCGCTATGCTTCGTTTCCAGAGTAACAAAAACTCATGAAAGGAAATACAGTGTTACAGAATTAGAATTTGCAAGCGTGCTTTTCTGTATCAACAAATTAATATTTTATTTATTGGGTTCAAAATTTACGGTCGAAACAGATCATGCTGCTTTGATTCACATAATGAAAAATAGATTGGTTAACAATAGAATACATTACGGCGTATTATTATTGCAAGAATATGATTTTGAATTCAAGTACATAAAAGGAAAAAATAACATCATCGCAGACTCTTACTAGAGATGAAAATTTTTATGAAGGAAGACCAGAGAATACTACAAGTAGGAATCAATAGATTGATCGATATGGATGGTATTTATTCTTTGGGAGAAGTCATGAGAGATCAACAAAGTTTGGCTGAAACAGAAAGAAGAAGGGCAGAAAGAGAAAATGATATTTATATTAAGAGATTAGAAGGAAAAGAATTATATGTTATAACCAATGAATTGACATAGAGAATATTCATCATAACAACGGATACATCGGAAGCAGGATTCTAACTGGATGGAAGCAGGAAAGTTTGGGTAATATTCAGGGAAAATTATATTAGTAAAAATATCAAAGTATATATATATATATATATATATATATATATATATATATATATATATATATATATAAAATATCAAAGTATATGACGAGAAAATGTGACATATGTCAAAAATATAAAAGTAGGACATTTAAAATGAAAATATTCTACGAAATATAATATCCAGACAGAAACTCGATATCGTTGCAGTAGATATGCTAAGTGACCTAATCCAAACAACACAGAGGAATAAACATATTTTGGTAATGGTGGATCTATTGTCAAAATAGGTAAAATTATATTGCTGTCGACAACAACAAAAGGTACGGAAATAGTTGGAAAGATTGATCACTTTATTGAAGAAGTTGGAACATCGAGAAACATACTGTTAGACAATACCACATATTTTCGAAATTCTAGATTTAAAGGACAATTGAGACAAAGAGGAATCGATACCAAATTTGTGAGTATACGTCATCTACAGAGCAACCCTTCAGAGAGAGTAATACAAGAGGTCACAAAATTTTTAATCATAGCATCGGATGGGCAGCACAGGTATAGAAAAGTGCCAGAAATAGAAGATTATTTGAACTCTATTCCCCACACGATAACAAAAGAGGCACCCGTATTTATGATGAAAGGGATAACATCACCAAGACTCTGGGAAGAATTAGAACAGAGAATATCAACAAGTGACAGAAATAGTACAAACAAGATTAGGACTCCCTCACCTGTAGCATGTGTAAACTTCTCGAGAAAATTTTAAATTACAGGCTTACATGGTATCTAGAAAATGAAAATCTCCTGACCACAGTTCAAAGTGGTTTTCGACGAGGAAGATCTGCTAACGACAACTTAGTGGCACTTGAGTCAACCATTCATGATGCATTCTTACTAGATCAGAAAGTTGTAGCAGTCTTTTTTGATGTGAATAAAGCTTTTGACACAACATGGAGATACCTCATATTAAATAAACTTGATAAATGGGGAATTCAAGGACATATGCTTGCGTTTATAAAAAACTTTCTGAATAAAAGGGAAATACAAGTAAGAGTTAACGGATACACCTCTACCACTAGAATACTCGACAACGGTGTTCCACAAGGTTCTATTTTAAGCCCAACTTTATTTTTAATTGCATTTAACGATGTAATAAATACAATTAAGCCTCCTATAAAAGCAAACTTATACGCTGATGATTTGGTTGTGTATATTAAATGCAAAAATATTACGTCTGGGGCTAAAATACTACAGAACCTTCTATACAAAATCGAAGAATGGTCTTCCAAAACAGGCTTCCTCTTTTCAACTAATAAGACACATTACACAGTTTTCAGCAAACGCAAGAATACCATTCCTGTTTCGTTAATATTTAACGGTCAAAATATATCTCATTCAGAGGAACCGATTTTTTTGGGCCTAACGTTTGATTACAAAATAAACTGGAAAACACACATTACGACTTTACAACTAACTTGTCAAAATAGAATAAACTTGCTGAAAATTCTATCCAATAATATATGGGGAGCTGATTCTAGTATTCTGCTTAACCTCTACAAATCAATTATTCGCAGTAAACTAGACTACGGTGCAATATGCTACGATACAGCAAATAAAACGTTTCTAAAAAACCTTAACACAATTCAAACAACAGCTCTAAGATTAGCCGTCGGTGCCTTCAGAACCAGTCCTGTAAGCAGCTTACAAGTAATATCAAGAGAACCCCTCTACATCTAAGACGACATCTACTTAGTTTAAATTATGCAGCAAGAATATCTTCCAATAAAAAGCACCCTTTATATTCTGAGATTATTAACGCACCTACATCCAATTTGTATAGAAACAAACAATACAAAGACAAACCCTTTAGGGAAAGAATCAATCAAAAAGGATTCAATTGCAATGAATTCAAATTATCCATAACTACAAAATTAGACTTTCCTCCATGGCTTACCCCCTTACCTATCACCGATTTAACTTTAACACAGTACCCAAAAAATACCACAAATCCTAACCTTATCATTAACGCATTCAAAGAAATTATGGAGAAGTATCCAAATCACCACATAATATACACAGATGCATCAAAAACTGAAAGTGGCCATGCTGCAGCCTTCACAAATAAAAATTACAAATATGCCATTAGAATTCCACAGCATTGCAGCATTTACACCGGAGAAACCACAGCGATATTAGAAGCTATCAAGAAATCCTCTTCAACGACTGAAAATAATATTTTAATCATCACAGATTCACTGAGCGCAATTCATGGAATTAATCAACTTTACCCTAGCCATCCTATTGCACAAAACATAAGAAATGAACTTAATGCACTACACCATATAAATAAAAAGGTTACATTTATCTGGATACCTTCACACATTGGCATTAAAGGCAACGAGGAACTTGATCAATTAGCATTAAAATACATCAAAAATGAAAATGTTCCAGAAATTACTAAATATCCCCACACCGACCATAAACGACAGTCCATGAATCATATAATAAATTTATGGCAAGCAACCTGGGATGCAACAGACTCTAAGTTGAAAACAATAAAGCCTCGAGTAGACTCTAGCCTACCACAACAAGGAAAAAGAAGAGATCAAGTAATCGTAAATCGTCTTCGAATCGGCCACACAATACTAACACACCAACACCTTCTAAATAAAGAACCAGCTCCAATTTGTACCTACTGCTCTACTCAACTCACGGTGAAGCATCTGATAGTCGACTGTCCGCAGTTCCAACCTCAGAGAACATGCCGAGGAATTAGTGGAAACCTGAGAAGTGCGCTTACGACAAATATTTTGGATTTATTGCAGTTTCTAAAAGACATAAACATTTATAATAAACTTTAATTTAACAAAATGTACTACTGTGTATGTCCCCCCACTAATAACCCTTGGTGGTTGATGTAAGTTTTGTATGTTTAAATAATAAAAAAAGATTAGGACAAAATACCTCCAACGTAAACAGAGACAAAGAAAAAGAAGGCCAGTTACTTTTGAAGCAGTAGGAAAAGTAATGGTAAAAGAGTTGAGAGTATCAAATCTAAATAACGGTGTCTGTGCAAAATTGCTACGCCCATACAGGGTGCATAATAAAAACGGAATCAACAGTTATATTTTAGAACACTTAGAGACTGGAAACATCAGGGGGAATATTCAAAATAAATGAAATATGCAAGTATCACGAATAAATCAAACCTACATTAAATTTTTTTGTTGAGTAGATACATGGACGGGAAAGTTTTGTTCTGTAGTTTAAGGGAATGGATGAAAGATACATTGGCGGGCACAATGAAAGTAATGAATAATAGAGTTTGATTTTTTTTAATTATTCCTTTTTTATAGATAAAAAGGAAAACAGTAATAGTAAGTTTGTTCAATTTTTATAGTAAACTTTAATTTTGGATGGTAACTGAAAATTATCTAAAATTTTGTTCATTTTATTTGTTGGGATAGCACAGATACAGTCATCGATATAGCGGTAGAAGAATGGTACATTAGTATGACTAAGGCATATAACTATTTTTCATCCAAGAGGTTTTACAGAAAATACGAAGATACAATTGTGCCTATTTCATATGTTGTCTGTTTTAAAATTATCCCGTCAAAGGTTACTAATAATTAATAATAATTTTTGTAGGCACCTGTACCAAAAGCCAAATGGTCAGAAGTTTTAGATGTACGACATAAATCGCAGGAATGTATTCAAGGTTCTTCACCTGTATCCGGCAAAGAAGATTGCTTGTATTTAAAAATATATAGCCGTCACGTAAGTACTTTTTAATTATTTACAAAGAAAAGTATTGTATTCTGGAATCATATATCTATAGACAAAGCGAAAAGTTCAGGTTCGTTCGGAAAAATATTCCCATATGATTTTTTTACACAATCACTTTCATGGGATATTCCAAAAAAGTTTCAAGAGGTCGCCCATGCGAAAAGTTGTTCAAATTTAAAAAAAAAAAAATTTTTTAAACAAATTTTAACAATACATTTTTTTGGCTTTAACAAATTTTTTTGCATTTTTTGGATCATTCTAAACCAAATAAGTTTCTTGTAGTTTTTTTGTAAACTGCATCATTTTCCACTCATAAATAATTTAAAACTGAGAAAACGTAAATCTACGATTTTCAAGGCTCAAAAACACAAGTAAAAAACGTTATTTTTGAATTCACCAAGAACCTAAATTCAAGTTCAAACCTTCACCTTATCATTTCCCGATAAGTATTTTGGGCCTATTTCATTTTAAAACATTGTTTTTTAATCGTTAATGAAGCGCTTAAGACAGAACGGGCACTCGGGCTGCGGCGTATTTAAGATAGAGAAAGAAGATCTAGGGTACAAATTTTTACTGGTTTAAATTTTCATTGTACATCTGAGCACCTGCCCTACCATACGCGCTTCATTATCAATTAATGGTCTCCTCGTTCGCCCGATTTAAATCCCAAATATTATTTTTATTGGGGATATCTGAAAAGTAGTATTTATAAAACTAAACAAGCAAGTGTTGCAGACCTAAGGTCAAGAATTATCGATGAATCCATATTAATTTATAAAGAAATAGAGAGAAATTTAATAGAGGCATTCTACCATCGTTTATGATACTCTCAAATTAACAACGGAGGACATTTTGAACAGTTGATTAGGTAGAGATTAATTTAGCAATGTGGTAATGGCGTCGTCTACTTCGTTCCTCACAGGAATTTACAGCTTGGTAAATGCAAAGAAAACTATTTGTATGCAGTTCTACTCGTGCTGTAAGCCATCCCATGATTATAAGTTCACAGTTAGTTCTAAGGAAATACCTTTTAGTGAAACAACATTATTTCTTGGTAGCATTCTAGAAAGTAATATGACATGGGATGAAAATGTTACTAAAGTCTACAAAACCATGAATAAGGTTTACTATGCGTTAATTCAGTTAAAAACTCTATTTAATACCAATCCATTGATAAGTATGTACTATGCATTGGTTTATTCATATATGGCCTATAATGTTGTTTTGTGGGGAAACTCTAGGAACTCTTCTAGAGTTTTTATAACTCAAAAGAGAATTCTTAGATTGATATTCAATATGGATAATAGAGAATCATGTAGTAAATATTTTATTGAACACAGACTGTTGACTTTCCATGCTTTATATATTTATAAGTATATTATTCACGTCAAAATTAAATTTCAAAATTTTACTCTCAACTCTGACTTTCATAATTACTCGACAAAACACGGAATGTTGATAAGCGTATGTAAACACTCCACAACTCTCTTTAAAACTAGTAATGATTTTGCAGGATCTAAATTTTACAATTGTTATCCACTTAATATGAGAAATGAAAATAATATTCAAAAATTCAAAAATAAATTAAAATCATGCTTGATCAAATTATGCGTTTACAACCTAAATGATTATTTTGACTTAATAAAAGACTACAGGGAATGAGGACCGACGGGTTCAGAGACGCTCTATATTGCATATATGACTTGTCCTATATCACAATGTGATCTCATTGGATTAATAAAGAATGTTCTATTCTATTCTAATAGCTTTTTATTTTTCAATCAGAGACCAAACAAATACCTCAACCTTCCAGTAGTTGTATGGATTTACGGAGGGGCTTTCTTCGAAGGCTCTGCAGATTTTGACGATCACCGACCTGATTTCCTTCTTAATGAAGATGTCATCGTCGCAGCTGTTCAGTATCGACTTGGATTTTTGGGTTTCATGTCGCTTGGAGATACTGTAGCTCCAGGAAATAATGGTATTAAGGACCAGATATTAGGGCTTAAATGGATTAAGGAAAATATTAAAAACTTTGGAGGAGATCCCAATAAAATAACCATTTGGGGTCAAAGCGCGGGAGCCGCTTCTGTGGCTTATTTATTGCAGGCTAAACAAACAAAAGGTGAGATTATATTATACTCTTTTACGTTAATAATGAACTCATGCTAAAAATTAAAATAACATTCACATTTCTCGACAGGCTCCAATTTAAATTTTATCCTACAATTTTTTATGTACTTATCACTGCTAGATATTCTTATACATTTAAATCTATGTTTAAATGATCCACTAAAGAATCTGTTTATTGAACGATATATCATCAACGACAGTCATTTTCGTTTACGGCTACCAAAATAGGTGGCGTTTTTTGCAACATTTTACTAGAATCGTGAAAATAGCGGGACACATTCGCTGGCTATTTATTATTTAAATATATTTGTTATAGATTTTACTTTATATATTTTTTTCTTTATTAGGCCTGTTTAGTAAAGCAATTCTCAACTCTGGATCTAGTTTAAGCCCTTGGTCGTTAGCAAAAGATCTTCCAGACGCCACCAAAGAAGTGGCGAAAAAATTAAACGTAAATACGAGAACATCTTCGAATATTCTAGAATCATTAAGACAAGTTGATGCCAAAGAATTACAAGAAGCTGCGTCTTCTGTAATGAAGCAGGCAAGTGTATTATTTTTTATGTTTACATTATACGATCACAATATATTATTATTGAATTATTTTATTTCAGAAATTAATTTTAAGTAATCCACTGCAAGGATTGGTTTTTACCCCGGTTATAGAACCAAATCACGACGATGCAGTAATAACTGAATATTCCCACGAACTACTAAAGGGAGGGAAATTTCACCATGTACCCATCCTAGCAGGTTATACATCATTGGAGGGATATTTCGAGGAATTGGCAGGTAATTATAATTAATTGTTTGTATAACTTTCTAGAAACATTATTGGTAATTACAAGTATCTTACCTTATTTCCTCGGATAAAAATAAAACAATTTAGTACACTTTTAGATAAAGACCAAAAAACCAAACATAAAAAGTTGAAGAAAAATATTAAGAGTATTGTTAGCAATACTAAATTATTCTTCATTAATTGTTTTAGGTTAAATCTAATCAAATCTTTAGAAATACTCATAACAGTCCAAAACAAAGTCATTCGTTGAAGTCATTTTTAATTAAGAACAAATTTAAGATAAATGAAAAAGTACAACTGAAATAAAATGGTAAAAAGAAATAAAATAAGACTTACGAGTAGTGCATTTTTCATCTTTATTGGTATAGAATAAAATAGACCAAAAATTAATAAATGATTCCATTATACATAATATTATTCTACTATCTACTACTATCTACTATCAGTGAATATATCTACAATTTTATTAATATAAATCTGATGGACAACATTATTTTCGATACTTATAAGCGCTAGAGAAGATAACCGTGCTTCTGACATTGTACTACGAAGATATGATTTTATTAATTTAAGTTTAGAAAAAGATCTCTCTGAACTAGCGGTCGTAACGGGTAAAGTTAAAAATATGATGTACGCATGACACACTTCTGGTGTGCAAGCACTAGTGCAATGAAAATCTATGAGAATAATTTTGGCTACATCATAAATATATTGTTCTGAAGCTATTTTCTTGTGGCATTGTAAATTAATTACTGTTAAACTGGGAATAAGCCACAATTAAAGATAAAAATACGTTTATTGACGTTTCAATTTCCACTTCGGAAATCGTTCTCAAAATACAAACAGTAAATAGTTCATTCTTGTTAGTCTGCAGCATCTTCGCAGATATTCCATCTCTGTTGCTACTATCTTACTGCTGTTTTTCTTGTTTATTATCCAATTTTCAGCCCCATATGTCATAACACTTCGCACTAATGTTTTATAAATCTGTGTTTTAGTATTTGTTTTTTTTTTTAGCAAAATCTTCAATATTATCATTATACAACCCCTTATCGGAACAGTGATAAACTTCATGGGAAGTAAAAGCATTTTTTTAATTATTAGTCTATCTACCCAAATAAAATGAAACGTTACCTGGAACTACAATAAGCGTAATTTATCTGCTCGGCATCCAATTCTACTTCTTGGTTGTCATTTTCATTTTGAGTAGGATTAGTAATTATTGTTTCCTGACTAAGACCAACTGAATCTATTAATGCTTCACCAGCTTCACTAGGCTACTGATTTAATTCACCAGTTGTCACAAAAAATGAAGAAATATTTGGTAATTTTTGTTTTTTTTTTTTTGATTTTTGAGCACGTAGCTTTCGCTTTTTTGAACCACTTTTATATTCCCTCTTAGAACTCATTCTGTCAGCTGCAGATATATTACAATAATAACGTCATTACATGTGTAAGTGTTATAATTTCCTTATCTTACTGTTTAACTGTTGAGAGATTGTCCAATGATAACACAAGTCATCAATAATTATTGATGCAACTAAACCGTAAAACAAACAAACAACCAAACAATGTAAGGATGCATGCGAAAAATAATATAAATTAACACATTTTTACATATATTAGACGATAAGATGGGGCCTCTGTTACCCCTCTGGTACCAGGTAAATTAAATGCTGAAATTACAAAAAAACCACATTAGGGTGCTGTCTTATAAAGATAACAATTACAGCAATTATGCCAATATTATATGTCTGTGATTATTAATATGAATAAAATAATTGATGAAGTAGACAAAATCAAAACCTACAAATTGGTATAAGATAATCTATTGAATTGAAATAAATTACTAAATAACCAAAATACTACTTACACGCGGTACAAGAATTATTAATTAATGATTTGTAAAACATAGTTCAAACTATCCTGGATTGCTGGTGATGGGTGGACCTCGGTTCTTTTAGAAATATACATTTTAAAAAGCAAATTTAATTTTTTAGGTTTTTATATAATCTTATAATATATTAATTTTATTGTGTTAACCCCCTCTGTGGCTTAGTGGTAAGAGCGCCTACCTTTAAACCTAAAGGTCGTGAGTTCGAATCTCATCTGGATGGAGAAATTTTCGTTTATTAAAAATTAATGAATGAAAATAATTTCTATCCTTGTGCGATCGGTACTCACCGGAGGGACCGCAGACGTTCGGATATAATTAGCGTCTCTTAGCAAGGACAATGACGTCGACTTTGCTAAGTATCAAGACAATTACTCTACACACACACACACACACACACACACACACACACACACACACACACACACACACACACTACACTAGGTACCTGACTGTACCATGCCAATGATCATAGTTGTCGAGGCATTAACTCAATAATAAAAAAAAATTATTGTGAAAAACGGGAACAAAAATATATTGAACCAAAATTATAAAAGATAGAAATAAAATATTATTCTTACAAAGTTTAAAACAAAATAGAAAAAAAACATGGTTTTGCTTACTATTAAGATGCTTTAGTTTTGGATTTCTTGGCCTTCCAGGAATTTATTATGTTGACGGAAAACTCATTTTTATCTTCTGGTACCAACTGCTTAAAGCTTTGCAAATAGCCAATTTTTGTTCCCAAAATTGGCACCAGGTCTTCAGGATATGCTGGTATTTTTTGCCATTCGATATTAAATTGGCTGTTGTGTTTCGGTAATGCCAAATGGAAGTGATTAACACCAAAAATGCTATTAATATGTTCCGATGCCCTTACATAACATGGAATTTCGAAGCTATATACATGATGGATGATTGCAAAATGAGTTTTTTTAAAATCGAGGAAAATTTAATTGTTGAGATTCAGTGGACAGGCTTGTATTTTTATAATACTTGCTTAAAATCAAAAATCTCACTAGTTTGAACTTCTTTTACAGTAAACTTGCTTCTGGAACTTAAATTAACAAAAAATTTCTGTGTACTTATGAATTTCAAATATTTTATCAAATTTTTCTAAGTACCTTTTTATGACAGAAGGAGTGCTCTATAATGGGAAAATAATTTTCAATTTGATCGAAGCGCCTTATATCTGTAAGGGGCAAACTTAATTTAATAATCGTGTGGTTCTTATTTTGTCAAGGGCAGTTGTTACAAAAAATTTTTAACTCTTTTATGTTTGGTGATATTTAATTTTTTATATAATTAAGCAAAAAGATGCATACTTCATTAGGGCCCTTATTTTCCTGTCCTTCGTGATAAATACAGAAAAAAGAATTTTCTCCTTTAAGATTATGTTTGTAAAATACATTAACCGTTAGTTGGGTCTTATAGAAGACTTCTATATGTGGTAGATGAACATTTTGCATATAGTCAAATGCGAGCCCTACCACGTCGCGTCGTTCCTATCGTGACACTCTTTAACAGTATCCTTTAAATTCGTATAAAACTTGTTGGCCCTTTTATTGTGTATCAACAATTCTGCAACAGTCACTTTTTTTCAGGCATCTCCCAGAGAGGTGCTTTGGATTTTTAAATTCAACTCTTCACATTTTACGCATGTGTCTATTTAGGACGACCAAATTTCAAAGTAAAGTTTTCGCAAAAAATGGATGATAATAGCTGTAGTAAATTTTCGTTTCAGGATACTTGGATCTAAACATTCCGTACATAATTTTGATATTAAGCCTACTATCTAGATATTTATATTCTTTTCCCGAATAGTAACTTTCTTTTACTGGATAGCTTTGAATGTGTTGACGAATTAATATGTTTTGATCTTCTGGCATTGCCCGTTTAATATTTTTGTTACGTTTATCTCTAGGTATACTGACAATATAATAGGATCCTGTCAAAGAGGCTTCTTGAAAAACAAATCTACCATTGATCACATATCATCTATCAGACAAATATTAGAAAAAACGACGGAGTACGACATAGACTGCCATTACATCTTCGTAGACTTTAAGGCAGCGTACGATACTATTGACAGGTCCCAATTATATTCGGCGATGATCGAATTAGGAATACCAAAAGGTTTGGTAGAATTAATTAAAATGACAATGATGAAAGTCGAATGTAAAGTGCGCGTACAAGGGGATGTTTCAAAACCATTTAAAACCAACAGAGGACTACGCCAGGGAGATGCGCTATCGTGCACGCTGTTCAACCTAGCGTTAGAAAAAGTTATGAGAGATTCGGGAATAAACTTAAAAGGTACGATATATACCCGTAGTATACAAATAATGGCATACGCTGATGATATCGTCATAATTGGTAGAACCCAAAATGAAGCAGTGGAGGCTTTCACACGTATCAAAAATGCCGCAGAAAACATCGGACTTCTGATTAACATCCAGAAAACTAAATATATGCCGGCCATATCAAGAATCAGCAAAATAACTTAGAGGTGCAACACGAAACGATAGAAATGGTAGAAGAATTCTGCTACTAAGGATCACTGGTAGACTACAAAAATAACACATCCAACGAGATAAAAAAAAAGAATATGCGTGGCTAACCGCTTGTAATAAATAATGTTGTGGGTAGTAAATAATGTGTTGTTAACTTAGTTGCCCATTTATTAAACACTACTGTACACTCTTTTACTATTAACTAATCTTAAATATATCAGTACTTAATTGACGATGACGATAGATGATGCCTTACTGGCCATAGTGTCGGTATATTAATTAAGATCCCTGAGAGAATGATTGTTGGGGCTTTTATAGTAGTCCTTGCTATATCAGCAAAATGTTTACTTATTAGTATGTCAAGTTTGTTCATGACCTACGCCAAGCATGTGGTGATCGGCAATAGTGCTGACTACCAGTTCTAATTAGAGTATGTTATTTATGAATGTCCTCGATTCAAATTACTAAATATATTTATATAAACAGAATGTTAAATGTTACACGGGTATGAATTATAATATTTTATATATGTGAATTCTAATATTTAGGGAATAACACCACACGCTGTTATTTCGGCCTGGGCCCTCAACTAAGAGCGAGAAGTATGTCAATAGCAACAAAGTGCAAACTTTATAAAACAATAATACGCCCAGTGCTCACATACGGATCGGAAACATGGACAGTGACGACCCGAGATGAAGAGTTACTACGAGTCTTTGAAAGAAAAGTATTGAGGACCATATTTGGCGGAGTAAACGAACAGGGTCTGTGGAGAAGTTTGAACTCTATAGACTTTTTGGTGATGCAGATATTGTGAAGACCATCAAGATAAACCGCCTAAGGTGGGTGGGCCACGTTATGCGGATGGATGAGAGTGATCCCACTAAAATAACTATGCTAAATAGGCCGGTCGGAAGAAGAAGAAGGGGGCGACCTAAACTCAGATATCTGGACGATGTACAGGAAGATCTGTGGGAGATTGGAGTGAGGGGCTGGAGAAGACAGACACTCGATAGGGAAGGATGGAAGAATGTTTTGAAGCAGGCCAAGGCTCACGAAGGGCTGTAGCGCCAACTGATGATGATCTCTAGGAGTCAGATTATTTTTAATCAATGATTTTATTTGCTTTATTCTTTTTTCAGATACAAACTGCAAATTTAAAAAAGCCCTACAAAACACTTTTACTTTCAGATCTCTAACGCGAATAAAATGATCAAAAGATACTTCCCTTAATTTATTGTTTTCATTTTTCTGGCTTCTTGGTTTTGCTACATTTTTATTATATTTATATTTCCTGTTCATCCTTCTTTTTAATTTTGTAGAAATTCTCAAAAACTATTTGCTTTTGCTCATCGTTTAGCTTAGTAAAACACTGCATTTTACATCTAAAAAATAACGCATCCATAAACCTAGGCTATTCAATATATAACTTTATTTAACTTACTTGCAAGCATCTCCGGTTTGCTTGGCAGCAACCATCTTGCCCTTATAATCTGTATTCGCAATACGGCAGTACCGTTGACTCTATCTTTGTTGATTAAATTTCTTTTGTAATTATCATCATTTTTCACAACTTGCCGTCTTTTTCTAAGACTATCTTATTGAGATGGGTCCCCTTCACGTTCAGTGCTTGTTCTCCTTCAGAATGATGAGAATATGAAGCGGAGTATTAATCTGATTTTAAGGTTTAATATAATATCTCTATTAATGAGAATTTTCTTTAATTTATAGAAGGCGGCTCTGGCTTTTCAAATGCGTTTTCTTATTTCTTAATCTTATCTTTATCTTCTCCAGTTATTTGGGATATTTTTTATATCCCAAATCGCTAACATTGGCGCTCAAATAGATGATATTGTGGATTCTTTTTAACTCTATTCCATACGCTCTGATGTTCACTGATTGCAACTCTGTTTTGCTGACAACCTAATAGGTCTATATTATTTAATGTCTTCTGCAGGCTTAGGAATTGCAACCGTTTGTGCAACTTATAATTGCATCTAAGTCAAGTACAGAATTCCTTTTTTGGGGAGTTCTTTAAGGATTTTAGCGGCAATCAGGTCGTATTCAGGATACTTTTTGGTGTTCTAGTTTTATCTTATAGTGAACTTGTTTGGTAGTAAATCGATTCAAAAAATTTTAGGGTGTCGTTTGTTATTTCAAGATTTTTGTTGGGTGGAGAGTTTGGCTGGAATACGTTCACCAGGTTATCGGCAAACGCTTTCGCTTTTTCTTTGTTGCTCCTAGCCCATCTTCCATTACCTATTTAAATAGCAGGGTTGGTTAATCGAGGTCGATTTAATTTCCGTATTGCCTTCCAAAGTGAGTTCTCGGTGATTTCCGTTGCTAATAGGTTATTCAGGCAATACTATTATCCTTATGATTTAGTTTCCAATGGCCTGGTTGGTGTTCACTTCCAAGCTGCCTCTTGTATTATTTTAGTAAATTGTTTAACAGCTTCGTCTATATCGCTGTTAGTTTTTAGAGGCATTTTTGTATATATTTTGTTATCAATAATATTCCGAAATATTTCCCAATTTCTTGAACTTATTACCTAGGAATAGTGGATGTTCCTTCCCAAAAATCCCTCTATAAACACATTATTTAATTCTCACAAGAAAACAGTTGTAGGCAATTGTTGAATAAAATATATTATTAATTCTTAATAAAAGTGATAAACTAATTTTGAATAAATTTTTAATGCCCTAGACATGCAGGTCTTGTTGAATAATTGTAAAATTGTAAATATTACCTATCAAACTACTTAATGCCTCTTACCCTTTAGAGTTTGTAACATCTGTTTTTGAGAAAATACTATATATTAAAAATAGTATATACCAAAGATATTGTGGTTAAGAAATACAAAATTTTTACCGATATTTTATTTTTACAGCACTTTTTAGGCTCTGGGTAGCGAAATATGATTTATATCATCCACAACTTGTTCCTGATGACATGAACCTTCTTCCAATTACAAAAGCTATTATAGCTGAAAGTATAAAGAATAAATATTTTGGTATATTACCAATTGCCTTAAGCACAGAAAAACTCATGAGGGTAAGTCAGCGCACTGTATTATGTATTTTAATCGTCTAATGCTAAGGTCAGATGAACCTTAAATTAGATAATTTGAGTAACTTACAATATAATTAGTAAGACACTAGGTCGCTGATAAAGGTTTACATCTTTTAAGGGAACGTACAATTTCGCAGCTCGAAAAAGGGAACCTTATGCCCTGAGAGGTAACAATCAACTGTTAATAACGAACTGTTTTAATAAATTGATGCTTTGTCACAAGAACAGAGTTAATCTGAAAAGAAAAATCGTAGATGCCTGTATTGTCCAGCTAAATACATGTCTAATAATGTTTCCCCATGCTCTATTCCCTATTTAAAATTAACGTTTGTAGAACTGGAAGGGAGGGGGTTGACAAATAACAGATGCCTTAGTGTTAGCAGATGAACTCTTTTTCTTGGAACAAAAAAGTCGACTTGTTTTCAGCAGAGCGGACTCTTTGGAGTGAACAACCCTGTATTCCTGAATTTTTGTAGTAAAATTCACAGTATGCATTCATTTAGAAGTTAACTACATTATTTAGTGGCTTAGGTAAATTGGTGACAAGTCTGGGAAGCAAGATAATCATCAAAATAAAAAATCTTAATGTCTAGTGAGTTCTTGGAAACGGGTTGAAAACATTTTTGTAAATATGGAAGTGGAACAGATTATATTGTGTTTCATACCAAATCAATATTATAATTTTATGTAATTAAAAAGTACCCGCTACTGTATTTTATCATACTCAATATCGTTCCGTGTCATACTTACAAATATCTGGGACACGAAATCAAAATAAGCAGAGACAATCAAACACATGAAATACAGAGGCGAATAGGTCTAACATGGGCAGCATTTGGCAAATTAAGCCATATTCTAAAAAGTTCAATTCCCATGTGTCTCAAGCGAAAGGTTTATAACCAATGTGTTTTACCTGTACAAACTTATGGAGCAGAGACTTTAACACTCACGCAAAAATCTGCGAATAAACTTAGAGTTACACAACGAGCCATGGAACGTGCAATGCTGAACGTGAGCCTTCGAGACCACATAACAAACCAACAAATCAGGCGAAGATCAGGAGTTCAAGACGTCATCAAAAGAACCACGACGCTTAAGTGGAACTGGGCAGGGTACTTAGCCAGAACACAAGATGGACGGTGGACAAGACGTATTATGGAATGGAAGCCCAGAAATTATAAAAGAAGCCTAGGACGACCACCGACTAGATGGACCGATGACATTAAACGTGTAGCGGGAAACTGGCTACAAGCGGCCCAATGTAGAGAACACTAGAAAGAACTGAGGGAGGCCTATGTCCAGCAGTGGACGCGATTGGCTGATTGATGAATATCGTTCCGTGTAAGGATTGTGGGCATTAGCTTACTAACTTTACATTTTTGTTAAGCAATTCTCCAATTCTCATGATGTAAACTATAAGTTTACTCTGTTTTTGCTCTTCAAACTTATATTACTAACAATATATTACTAACATTTGCTTTTGTTTAGTTTATTGCAGACACACAATTTGAAAAACCAATTCAAGAAGCTCTTAGACTTTATTCCGCTTACACAAAAGTATATGCTTATCATTTCTCCTACGAAGGACCACTATGGGGTCGCACCAATCGTACTTATAACGGTAAGTGTGTATTGTTTATTAAAACTAAAGAAACTAAGTGTAACTATTAGTTTTATTTAAAATATATTTTTTGGTTTTAGGTGTTGGTCATAGTGAAGATTTGGCCTATATATTTGACTATAACATAAAAGGAAGTGAAGAAGATTACTTGACAAGAAAACGAGTAGTGAAGCTATGGGCTAACTTCATTAAATACGGCAACCCAACTCCAAAGCGTGAATCATTATTGCAGAATGTCATTTGGCCAGGAAATTCTGTTATAGAAAAGGCCGAAAATTTGGAATTTTTAGAAATTAACAGTGATCTAAAGATTAAAGGTATTCCAAATGAAGACAAAATTTTATTTTGGAACGATTTGTATAGGAAATATGGAAGACTTCCATATTCTACTTTTTAATGCGTATAGATTACTTACTGCTGTTGATTTTATGTTATTTTAGCTAAAATCTGTGAATGAAGTATCTACAAATAAATAAACTAAATTATTATACGAAAAACATTTTTTTGCCAATACTCATGCTCCCCCATCCAAACCTCGTCAACATCGATGGTATAAATGATCAGTCCTCTGTTCGCAGTACCAATAATGAATTGGTTAGGGATCAGTGTAGTAGTGGCTGGGGGCTCGGGAGACTGAGATCTCGAAAGCCCTGAAGGGAAGACATGAAATAGGATGCCGCAATGATAATCGACGCGGTTTAACACGGAAGACTGTTCTAAGATATTAATCTTAGCTCTAGGTTTAATTGTACTAATCACGGAAATCTTTTGGAACCTATGTTGATGATCAACATCCAACAAAAATTAAAATAAACTTAATTTTGGAACTAAAAAGCAAAGTAACTAGAATAACTCATCCAACATATGAGGAACGTCCACACAAAACTACACATGTCCACTTAAAGTATATTTACGTGCACACCGATTTGAATATAGTTCTAATTATTTTTTTTTTCGTTTGTTAAGGAATAAACAATAGTTATTTTTAATTTGGACATGTGTGGTTTTGCTCAGAGAGTATGGACATGTGCAGTTTTGACTGGACTGAGTGACGGACATGTGTTATTTTGAACAGTTTATTGGTAAAATACACGAAATTGTTATTAGTATGCAGAAAATCAAAGAAAAATAAATCATTTTGCATTATAAAAATAAACAATAAACTTCAATATTTATATGTGAAACTTTCCGTAGTTCAAGCAATCGCATGTCTCCTCTTCATCGACCTCTATTGTAGATGATTCTTCAAAATTCTGTATTGAATTTCCATAAACAATGTTTTTATAAAAAGATCAGCTCTGGTATATCTTTCTATTTAATTTTTTTCATCGTTATTATCATCACTGTTTTTTCAACAATTGCTGTACGTCTTTTTTCGTTCGCAATTTTGTTTCCAATTGACAGCTGTGTTAACTTGAATGTTTTTTCACTTGCCCCTTTTTACTAAGCATTGATATGGTTCTAGTTGGATTTGAAATCTATAAAATTCGGAACCCCTATAGGTACTTAACGGTTGTAGTATTGTATTTTATAGTAAACTTTTTGAGTTCAATGTATTTAAAATGTTTTATTCCTGGAATTTTGTTGTACATATCATCCGTTATGTTTTTTATATCGTATAAAAACCAATCCTTTCTTAACATCATAACATTTCTGATATTAGAGTAAACCTCATTGTATTCTTCCACACTTGTGATCAAGTCTTTGCGTTTCAATAATTTCTCAACCCTTATAAATGCGCGGTCTGCTGGAAGGTAGCTATGCCCTCGAACTGGAAAATGTATTATTATAGTTTTGACTGACGCAGGAGATTCTAAAAGCCAGCAGTCCAAAATATGCATTATTTATGAGTTTTTATTTTGGCCACCACAGCCATCACAAAAAAGCCGTATTTGCTCACAATTTGTTAAATCCAAAGAGCGTAAATGGTGTATTAAGGCTGATCCAACTTCAGTGGAACCTCGTTTGGCTTGCGACTCGTCCCAGGTATAAAATGATGGATGTTGACTGTTCATTCCAATACAACAAAATGCGTAAAAGTTAATCTGCCGTAAGTAAAACGCGTCTTGGATTGGAATTTTCGAAAGTGGATGGACCTGCTGCAAATCAAAAGCGAACGAAATGCTTTTTGGAGGAGACTCTCGCTAATTCGTAAAATACATTAGCACGTAACTTATGAATTCGTAAATCGGTCAACGTTTGTGTTCTTGTTTCACCTGTTTCTTTACGTAAAGTGTGCTTTAAATTAAGAGAAGTACCACATACATCACAAGCTGGGGACTTAAAACCAATATTAAAGTTTTTGTAGAATACGTGTTTAAACATAGTAAGGCTCACTTTATAGTCGTCGTGCGCATTATTGCACATTTGAAAAAGTTTGTTGATATTTAAGTCACGTCAGATAAATTCGTGAAGATTTCTTACGATTATAATGACTTTTAGTTCCTGGAATTGAAGCTATAAATTCTTTAACTTTGGTTTTTTTGTCAACGGTTTTTCGTAAAATTCTATGCCCACCACGTCTTTCTTTAGGTATCTGTCCTTTTTCCAGGAATCTGGTAACTGTGCGTAGAGTCGACTAGCAGAAATATTTAAAGCAGCCATAATAAAATTTTTACACACCGGCACTGTCTTACCTTTTGTACGGAAATAATAGAAGGCATGAAATGATTTAGGCTTAACATTATTTTCTTCTATGTTATCCCTTCCACTTCTCCTCTGGGGTGGACACACTGAGATAAAATGGCTCAATTTCTGGTCTTGATCAGTTTTATTGGAATATCCATAAAGTTTTTCCCTCTGTATCTTAATTTCTTTCTGCGAAACTGAATTGCAATTTAAGTTTTTCCAGTTATGATTACAAGGACGTTCGAATCTCTTCATTCCAGTGTCATTTTTGGTATAACTTTAATGAACACGCATATTAAAATTTAGTAATCGAATTGCTAAAAATAGTTTTTACCTTTTAGTCCTTTTCTTCTCTTCTTTTAAAATCTCTCGCCTCGAACGTTTTCTAGAGCCAACGTTAATTTGCCCCACAGTTCTATCCATATTTTATTATTAAATAATTTTCAACTATAAAGAAACTATTATGTAGCTTTTAAAAATTCACAGAACAAAAACAACGTTTTTGAAACGAAATAATTGTACGCTGTGTGCTAGCACTTTATAGGTTAACCACAGATACAAAACGTGGAGATATCTCATGATACTATAACAAAACAAGATATGCTTGCCGTTCTAATTTTGATCGACTTTGCGCATGACGTCATAGCGAGACAAATCTAGGGGACTTGTGTGTATCATATTTTAACGATGCATCATATGTCGATCTGGCTAGACTTGTTACTTGTGGTTTACCTATTGATACAGACGGATGTCTAAAAAATTCAAAACTGTTTTTACCTGTACCACTCCTTTATTGCTTTTTCGTTTGTATCCCAGGGCGAGGGACAATAAATAATATTTACACGTGCGTAATTATATGCTAACTTTCTTAATTCGATAGTTAATGCATCTTTGCACAAATGGTAACATACTTTAGTAGCTCTTCCTCTTGCTGTTTCGTAAAGACTAACTTAACATCTTGTGATGCACTATATACAAAATGTTCTCGTCCAGATTCTCTGTGTTTCTTGAGATGTCTGCATAAGGTTGCTTTAGATACTTTAAGTCTGCGCTGGCTTGTCTTAGACTGAGCTGTTTTTGCAATACAGCATTAGCAGCATTTTCGACTACAGGTTTTATTCTTTTAACGTCTATTAAAGATGCTGCTTCTCGGCATCTGTAAGCCAAAAAATAAGCGTTTAAGTTTTTATAACCATCTACAGTTCATACAACTTGTACTTTGGAACATAGTCTAAAGTACAATTCAGACGACGTTTAAAAGTACACGATAACCCCCTCTGTGGCTCAGTGGTAAGAGCGTCTACCTTTAAACCTAAAGGTCGTGAGTTCGAATCTCATCTGGGTGGAGAAATTTTCGTTTATTAAAAATTAATGAATGAAAATAATTTCTATCCTTGTGCGATCGGTACTCACCGGAGGGACCGCAGATGTTCAGATACAATTAGCGTCTCTTAGCAAAGACAATGACGTCGACTTTGCTAAGTATCAAGACAATTACTTTACACACATACACACACTACACTAGGTACCTTACTGTACCATGCCAATGATCATTAGTTGTCGAGGCATTAACTCAATAATAATAAAAAAGTACACGATAATCACATGTTTAAAATATTCGCCTTTTATTACTCAAAATAAACACAATTCTCTGCAAAAACTAAGAAAATATATTGCTTAAAACTTCTATATTTTTGTGTAAATAGACAAAATATAAGAATATTAATATACTTACCTACTTACTACTTACTAATGTACTTACTTTTTAGACCAATCTGCGAGCGCATTGGAACGTTATATAACTAGTTAATGCACCTGAACCGCTAGTATGCGGGCACGTAGGGACCAATCTCTTGAGCAGCAAGTCGCCGAACTGAGCCGGGGCTCAGAGCGGAGACTTGAGGCCTAAATAAACAATTTTAGTTCGCGGATAAGCCACATTAGGATAACAGGAATATAGCGTAAATGCGCTGTCCTGAGTTTTTTGCAAATCGGTTAGGAAACCATGTTGGGGTTCTATTACCCAAGACCTCCGCATGAAGAGCATTTGGCTGATTGTTGTGCCTCTATAGCGCATCAGAGTGCTATAGGGGGGAAAGGGATGGTCTAGAGCATTGGATCACGGTGGGACGACTCCTGTTTCTACACGAGTTAACACACCTTGCTCCAATGAATTGTTACACCCGATCGTAATTCATAGGGGTGAACATTTCTCATAGGCTGGGTTCAATTAAATTGCTTGAGAACCGCTAGTATGTTGTAAAAGTCCGAACGTTTCAAAGTACAAACGGTCTCAAAGTACAAAGATTTCCTCTACGTAAAATCACATCTTAACTGTCTTTCCTTTTAAGTAATATTTAATGTTATAAATTAACATATCAATAAACAATTGGAATAACATCATAATCTTATTTTCTATCGACATCACAACATTAAAAATTCATGTATGCTTAAGCCAAACTGAATGGACTAATTTATTTTTTATCGACAATAAAATTAATAATAATATAAAAAATTGTTCTGGTTTTGCTTTCCACATCAAATAACTGTATATTCATTTATATACGTACATTAATTAAACTGAGCTGGGGCTCAGAGACTCTATGACAGTGACATATAATGACAATATAGTTTTTTAAAATTTAAAAAAAAAAAATTTTTTTAAATTTTATATATGTGTAATGGTTCGTTTTATAAAGTACAACATAAACTGTTATCTCGCGATTAGTAAGTAAGACAACTAATAATTATAACTAGATAATTTTTATATATCTTTGTTAACAGATGTCTTGAAAAAGAATTAAAACAAATTCGAAAGCTTGACAGTAAGTCAAAGAGGTTTCTTT